GTCTGAATTTTAACATGTTTGCAAGAATGTGGAAGGAAACATGCTTTTGTAGAGAAAATAATTCTCTTCCGAATGGTGTATGAAGTGCATAAAAGAATGGAACATTAGTGAGAAAATTACCAAACGAAAAACAACACCACCTATGGGAGAGCCTAAAAAACAAGTACACAGGGAGTTATTTTTGGAGGCGACTAGAGCAGTCCGATTCCGAGCGGAACGGAAAACAATGAGCAATTACCGAAAAATGAAGCTGTGCTTACCGCTCCATAACTGAACGAATCTGCAACGCACCCGTTTGAACTTTTGCTTTTTCGCTCTCAATAAATCAGGCACCATAACCACTTCAGGAAGGATTGCGAGTCGCAGTGTTTTCCTAGATTCAATTTTCAATTTTTAGGACAAACATCTCAATTTCATTGACTCGGGAGCTCCATTTCCCGTGTCGGACATTGTCTATGAGATGGAATTCAGTGAACCTGCAGAGAATGCAGGACCAGAATTCGATCAGACGTCATACAGAGTACAGGTATCGTTCGGTCTCGCTCAGGATTAGCATGTATTCAGTCGAGGTTTCTCTCCGAAAAATTACTGCTAGAGCGAAAAAATCCCGAACTTGGACAGTTTGTACACTTATTTGGAAGAATACCAATGAATTCTCGCATAATACCCACAGCACGTCGATTTGGAAATTCGCATTTTTATGGTATTATTTCAGATTTTTCCTGATTCCTGGCCTCAACCTGGCTATCCTTTTGCTGTCATATCTTCTCATTCTCCGGCTTCCTCTAATGTCACCTACGCTCTGTTCACACCGGATAATGAGAAGTCGTTCGCAGTTGATCCAAACACTGGTGAGGCGATTTCCATTTTAGGAGCTGATGTCGACAGAGGAGGTTGAAAATATTTTTGGATTCATTAATTCGAAAGCCGGCGGAAGGATTTTCTACCAAGTACAATGTGCAGTGATCGGCGTAGCTGCTTACCTCTCATGCTGACAACTGTTATTTTTAGGTGAACTGTTCCTGACCTCATCGGTTCCGCCTGGTGATGAGTTCTGCACATTACTGATTGCTAAAGATGCAAATGGTCGAGAGACTGCTGTACCAGTAGCAATCAATACCGGTAGGGATGACCAGTCATTTTGAGAGTCCCTTGCAAAAATTCAGTAGAGAGGTTCATTAGAACGGTGAAACTCCAGTTCGGGGGGGCCACTCCATTGCTATCTTATCCGTAGTACTAGAGAGCAGTTCTTTGGGCTATCGAACACTACGGATAAGATAATAAGTGAACGACTCATTTCGAGCGTACTTTTGATAAGGACCGGTGGATGTCCTACATTCCACACTACCTGCCCACATCCCATCCACTTTTCTGCACAGGTGATCCACCCTGGAGCTCCTGCACCCTTAGCCCTTTGCGGAGGTGTCCTTTCTCCTGGTCCAGGACTGTTTCCCTGGACCAGACAGGCGAAAATATGAAATCATCTCAGGGTTTCTTCCACATTACACCGATACTTATCAGAAGTCTACTTTAAATGAGTCGATTACGTGTCGTGAGCCCTCTAATCCTTATCTTGAGTATTGGAGAAAAAATGGAGTGGCCCCCCCGAACTGGAGTTTCACCGGTAGAACCTCGCTGCCTGCATGTGGGATCCGGATCAGAGAAACAAAGTACCATGTACTCCGAAGGACGGAGACTATTATTCAGCTTCAGCTGCATCACCGCCTGTAACCAGAGTACCACCAAAATAATCCAAACCCTTGCATGAGTTAGTCTCGGCTGTGGCTTCCTAATGGCTCCTAGTGGCTCACTAATGACGCCAGAGGAGGGGAGTGGTCTGCAACAGAAGAACAAAACAAAAGAAACCTCGATCATGTTCCGAATAGGGACCTCCTCTACACATTTCGGCCAAGTTCCACCTTGGTACAGAAAATGGCGTGTTCGGACAGTTTACCTAACGCTATAGCTCGCATTGCTTCATTGCCAATTACATATGATCGCAATGTATGTATTAGGTTGTCTCATAAATAGTGTCGCTTTTTTTCAACCAAAAATTTTCATCTAAATCCCCATGCTTTTACATCGAGTCATATACCATTCGAAAGAGAATTGTCTGCTCTACAAGATGCTATGTTCCTCTTCCATCTTGTTCCAGGGTTTTCAAATTTTAGCCTGCGAAATGGGAGGTCCAGCCGACAAAAATTGACCAAACCGACAACTATCTCTAACTTTATCTTCCCTTGGGAGAAATCAATCAATGATGTACCCTCTACTTATGCATGACCTCTTCTAAACATTACACTATTAGGTTTCCCAACAAGTCATTCCATTTCCAGACCTGGTTTTTCAACCAGAACTCGACGGTCAGCACCATTACCTGAGATCGAGGTCGAAATTTTTTTATAGCCGAGACATTGAAAAACTAGTAGAATTTAAAGAACAAGTCATGACTAAGTTAGTAATGCTTATTTCTCATCTTCTCAGGATATAATTTTTTTTTCAAAGAAATGCGGTCACTTTCGTGGATAAAGCACCTTACTCCTAAACACCTAAAATTCGAGCTAATTCCTAACAAACATAAAAACAAAACAAATGAGCGAATAGAGCAGAAGAAGTGCTCACAAAAGATACACCAGTTGATATAAAACAATAGCGTTTCAGAGGAAGAATTTCAATTTGAAAATTGCCATGGCTTATCGGTCGGCCAATTCGAAAAGAAACAGGGCAAACCTTTTTCGGCAACCTAAGGGTGGAATGTTCAGAAGAGGTCATGAGTAAGTAGAGGGTACATCATTGATTGATTTCTCCGCAGGGAAAATAAAGTTAGAGCTAGTTGTCGGTTTGGTCAATTTTTGTCGGCTGGGACCTCCCATTTCGCAGACCTAAAATTTGAA